AAAAAAAGGTTGTGTGAAATGTGACCACTTTCTGAATTAAATAGTGTGGGCATTGATTTATTTCTCGTTTCTTTTTGACCATCCAAGTGAGATCCAAATGGAAAGTTTTAAGAGCTTAAAGTTTATTGTAATTGTCTGCTTCTCAAGCTTCGATCCAGAGAGAAAAAGCTAATCTTCCTCAGGAGAGAGTGAAAATATTCATTAGTAATTTATAAAATCTGAACCTTAAAGGACTAGCCAAAGAGTCAAATGCAAAACCTCTCACCATATTTGCAGTTTCTTTTTTAAAATTTTCTGGTGGTGGGATAGATGAGTGTTATTTTTAGCCCAACTAGGATTAGCATCCGGTAGTGTACAGTGGTTACACTTTGGGCTACTAACCACAGGTCAGCAGTTAAAAGCCACCAGCTGCTCTGGGAGGAAAACAAGGCTTTCTACTTTATAGTTACAGCCTTGGAAACCCACAGTGGAAGAGTTCTATTCTACTCTTTGCCATAGAGTTGCTAAGAGTCTGAACTGACTCAATGGTAGGGAGTTTTTTTAAGAGTGCCTTAGACCAGGGCAGGGGTCGAAATTTTCTCCCTGCCATCCATTGGGTCTCATTACAAAACAGGCTTAAACTCAATAGACTGTTGAAATCTAGGATCTCATGCCATAAGTAATCAGAAAAACACAAAGGTGCAAAAGTAAAATGGGCCGATTGGTGTAGTTCTTGCCTTTAGGACAAGAAATGCTTCTGTCCTCTGTTCATCGGACACCTTTCCAGTTAGGGCGGCAGCGCTTCCTTTCCTCAGAAACATTTCTCTTGGACTCCGTTCTTCACAGTTCAGGGAGCTGCTTATCAGATCACTCCTTTTAGCCTGGGGAATCTCCAGATTACTCATATGCTTTCAAACCCCAGGCTTCCCTAAAACCTGTGGTGTGATGGCTTCTCTGGAGAACGTTCAACAGTCTGTGTTTCACAGATATTCTTTGTGGCATGTTTATTAATCTAGACTCTTGAGTTTGGAGATGACATTGGGATCTTGGAGTGTGTAAATTGTGTGTGGGTAGTGGATAATATTAATGAAAGTGCTACCAAAAGATATCAAGTATATCTACATTGTGTGAACAATGTACTATAATAGTATGCATGTTTAAAGACCAGTGTTGTTGCTGTTTCAAACGTTTCTTATTTTCACTGATCCTGAAAATTTGAAGGCTTTTTTT